CAAACAGATGAAAGTCCAATGGAACAAATTCAGGACTATAGGGAGGATGCTTTAATACCTCAAAACAAAGTTTTTGCAGAGTGTCAACAGTGTGGGCAGAGGCATCTGGATGTGCATTGTCATGCAAGATCATAATGCCCTTGGATAACCATCCTCTGCTTTTAATCTGAAGTTTAGGCTTCAATGCTTCAGTGAGTGTCTTATTTTAAAGATCACTGTTGATTGTTGAACCATTTTCCTTATAGTGTTCCAATACCGGCCCTTGAGAATCCCAGAAAACTCTAAGTATCAATTTTCTAGCTGTTGATTGACTTTTGAACTTTTTCTTGGTCAGCAATTGAGGATGTTTCCATTTCATACTCAGGAAACCAACCAAGAAAAAGTACAAAAGCCAACTGGAAAATCCATCCATCAGCTAGAAAAGCCATCCAATGACTGCCCCACAGGAAGTCCCAGTAGATACACCACTTACTGAAACCATAAGGTTTGTACCAATCAAGAGAGGAGCGGCATTATTGGGAAGTCCATTGGTGGTGTTCCTTGTAGACCAGAGCTGACAACAGAAGTAACTTATTGAATTCAACTCGCTGATAGAAATAGGCATTGACAAAGTAGAGGTCAGGTGATGGTATTTAATCACCAGAAGCCAAGTGGACAGTCACTGTAATGATCCATTAGGTTGATGTCTGCCAAGGAGCCCTAATCCACAGTTAAGAAGTGGTTGACAGAACACCATGTTCTTAGGAGAAAACAGGTCAGCCTCAAGATAAATATTAAGCTTGTGCTATTAGAAGAAATTTAGGATGGATAAATAGGAGGCTAAGGGAGTTAGCCCAATACAAAGTCATGATTCCCTGACAAGTTTCTAGACCTGAACCAGTTTTCAGGCCTAGGAATTTTTAGTTGAGGAGAGGACCAGGTCCCCAGAACAAAAGATCATGAAATACAAGGGCAAGTAGACTTAGTAATCATTTCCTCCATCTTCCCTCAAATGAATTGTCTATATTTACTCAGTGTAGTAGTTAATGCTATGTACCAGGTTATTCCAAAGCCTAGAAGCCTAATCTATTATTTTTAATTCATATAGTTTCTGTGGGTCAAGAATTTGGTTGCTGAATGGTTCTGACTTAGGACATGAGAAGACAGTTAAGATAATGGCTAGGGATACCATCATCTGAAGGTTTCAATGGGACTGGAGTACCCATTTCCATGGATGCACAGTCACATGGCTG